AAAAAACACAAAAACAGCACTAATTCCCTATACAAAATCTAAACTGGTAAAAGTTCCACCAACAAAATAAACCAATCAAATGTCACAATCAACTACAAAAACCATAATAATAGACATAAATACAAAAATAAAAGAATAAAAATTTAGAACACTCAAGTTGCTATTGGCCTTCTACCAGATAATACCTTTGAGAGCATTTTCTTGAGATCTTTGCATCGACTCCAGTGATAATTGATCACTATACACAGTTGTCTTATCACCTCCCTCATCTCTTCCCTGAGCCCCAATATCACCTCTTCCTTTTCACTAATCGTCTTCTTCAATTCCCCTATCTTCTCTTCAAGCATTTTACTAATTTTTTGATCAAATTCTACTGCTTCTCATTCTCAGGCCAGTTAGGCGTTTAACTGCTGCACCTCATTTGTCCTACTCTGCAGCCGGTGCGACAAGTTTGTGACCGCAGTCATGGTTTCCACACATAACTTCAATGTATACTGATTGGCTTCAATATCCGTTTGCACTGCCATTTTTTGCTCCACCGACCGCATCGGAAAGTTCAACAGAGCAAAACCAGCGGTGTTTGGTTGAGGTTCACGGGCCCCCGCACCAGTTATCTCTCTTGTTGACTCGTTGAGGTCGGGGAAGAGAGTGAGCAGACCACGGGAAGACGATGCCATTTTCTGGGCACCAGAGTGTTACAGACTATCTCTCTCAGCAAAACGAAGTGTTTTTCAGAGGTTTTTCGCAAGTTTCTGCCTCAGCCTCAGCCTCCGTCTTGGTTAAATAGCCAAGGCAGACACGCGCATTGCGCGCCACTTGACGCCAGACGACAAAACGGGCGCGCAAGCCAAGGTAGTCACGTGCCTCGCCGCATGTCCGGCACAACTTTTGATGGCTCGACGCTTTCTGTCGGGCACGACTTTTGATGAAGTGGGCGCGCCTTTTGAGGGCGCGACTTTTGAGGGCTCGATATATATATCTACATGTATATCTTTTGGGCAGCCTATATACACACTCATACAGTGTCTTCTACATCGGTCCGACATGACCCCCCGTAAACTGTCTTCTACAGCGATCCGACATGACCCCGTAAACTGTCTTCTACACCGGTCCGACATGACCCCATAAACTGTCTTCTACATCGGTCCGACATGACCCCATAAACTGTCTTCTACATTGGTCCGACATGACCCCATAAACTGTCCCGACATTGATTCCGGTCAGCTTCTACATCGGTCTGCCATAACCATACCGTGTCTTCAACAACAATCTGACACGACCACACAGTGTCTGCTACATCGGTCCGGTGTGACCTCGTAAACTGTCCAGACATTATCTTCTCCAACGGTGTGACACGACCATAAGTGTCTCCTACAACGGTCTGACACGACCATACCGTGTCTCCTATCCTGTTTTATTTTATTTATCAGTTTACTTTCCTGTTTTGTTACTCTCTCCAAACTCAAGTTGGTTAGTATCTATCCTCCTTGAGTTTGAGGGGGGCTGTAAGTGTGGTAGGTAGAGTTGAGTGTGTTAGGTAAGAGTTGAGTGTGGTAGGTAGATGTAAGTGTGATAGGTGAGAGTTGAGTGTGGTAGGTGAATATGTTTTTCTCTTCTATATATAGGAGAGTCATTGTATACAACATACATCAATCAATAATACATCAATTTTAACAGGTGTTGTGCTCACATATTGAATCTAATTGTTTATGAGGGATTGAAAGAAAATGATGACTCCATAACAAGGATTCGGAATATTGTGAAGTACGTGAGATCCTCTCCATCTAGGATGGCTAAATTCAAATCGTGTACTGAAACGGAGGGCATTGAGTGTCATGGTCAACCTTGTTTGGATGTAGCTACCCGATGAAACTCTACATATTTCATGTTAGAGCGGGCTTTACCATTTCAAAAGGCTTTTGAGTGGTTAGAAGATGACGACACACACTTCCAGTTGACTCTTAGAGAGGATGAGATTGGTGAGGTTGGTGAAAATAGTGAGGAGGGTGAAGTTGGTGAGATTGGTGAGGAGGGTGAACTTGGTGAGGGATTTAGAGTTGGTCCAACTAATAGTGGAAAAGGAAAAGAGAGAAGAAAAGCAATTGGGCCACCGACAAGTTATGATTGGATGAAAGTGAGGTTGTATGTCAAGTTTTTAAAATTGTTTTACAATGCCACATTGCGTTTTTCGGGTTCTTTGTATGTTACTTGCAATGCATTTTTTTCGGAGATAATGTTGATAAAAAGTGCAATAACTGAATTGTGTGAGCATGATGATCTAAGTTTGAAATTATTGGCACATGAGTTCAAAGTTTGACAAGTATTGGGGTAAGTCTGACAAGATCAATTTGCTATTGTTTGTTGCTATTGTTGTTGATCCTCATTACAAACTTAAATATGTGCAATGGTGCTTGGAAGAAACTTATGAAACTCAACATGTTGATGGTTTGGTAAACAAACTAAAGAGAGGATTGACAAGGTTATATGAGTGGTATGTTTTGAATGTTCAAAATGAAAGTATGCAACCACAAAATATGGGGCAACCATCAAGGGAAATGAATTTGGATAAAGATCATGACACAGATGTCCGAACAAAAATGAAATCCAAGTTTAAGATGCATTTGGAAGAATAAAATCATATGGTTAACAAGTCCGAATTGAAGAGGTATTTGGTGGAGGGTTGTGAAGAAGATGATGATAATTTTGATGTATTGGGTTGGTGAAAGACTAATTCCACTAAGTATCGCATCCTCTCTCATATGGCTCGTGATGTTCTAGCTATCCCCGTGTCCACAGTTGCCTCAGAATCCGCTTTTAGCACGGGAGGACGTGTTCTTGATCCATTTCGCAGCTCTCTATCACCCTCTATGGTGGAAGCTCTCGTCTGTGCCCAAAATTGATTTCGTTCCCCATCTCAAATCAGTCTTACAGATCAATTGGAAGAATTGGAGGAGCTTGATTCAGGTATTTTTTTTCTTAAGTCACAAGTATTTCTTATTTTCTTTTCTTTTTTTTTTTAATGAAAATTATATGTTTAACACTTTAACCTGTTGTGCATTGGGTCTTTTTTTAGTACTTATGGAAGGAACAAGCAACAAGGATGTAACTGTTATTGATTGATGCTTGAAAGCAAGGGTAAGAAATTGAATAGTTGATGTAATTTTTTTTTTTTTAATGTTAAATTGAATTATGTTGATAATAATTTTATTTTTTTTACAAGTCTCTTTTGTTTGCTTAGTTGGAAAGTTCATGTTGCTGCTGCTTGCCTTAGATGGTTTCTGTTTTATGTTTTTGAGTTTTGAGATTGATTATATTAATGGTATGTAATATATATTAAGCCTTGGATTTAGACACATAGCTTTATGGTTGGATTGGATATATGGTTGGTTGATGGCTTAGACTTAGACTTGGATACAAGGCTTAGACTTTATGGTTGGATATACGTTATTTTTCATTTTTTGTTGGTATATGTTAATAACAGGGGCAGGCCCAAAATGTGAGGCCACAAGCTTATGCAAGAATTACATCGCTTTAGGCCCAAATTTTATGCAAATGGATAAAAATATAGGCCCAAAATGTGAGGCCCAAACCCATGCAGGAATTACATGGCTTGAGGCCCAAATTTTACGCAAATGGATAAAAATATAAGCCCAAAATGTGAGGCCCCAAACCTATGCAGGAATTACATGGCCCGAGGCCCAAATTTTATGCAAAATGGATAGAAATATAGGCCCAACCAGCAAAAAAAAAAAAAGAGAGCCAAAAAACCGAAAAAACCGCACCGCACCGTAATAAACCGTACCGCGCCAGTTTGTGTCATTTTTCTGGGCGGTTCGGTTCACAAATATGCAAAACCGAAATTACCGGTTCGGTGCAAAACTAGTGAAAAACCGACCGAACCGAACCGATTTCACCCCTAATGTAGCTACAAGCAGAAGAACCAGCACAACAGCAATAGTCCAATATGGAAAAAATGGTGCAGAAACAACACCAGAGTCCGAAGCAACAAGCAAGGGCAAGAGGGCTGCTAAGAAGAGAGATTGCTAGAACACTAACATGTAGTTATAAGGGAAAACAGGCACGATAGCAATATTCAAAGGCGCTGGAGAGTTGGTGGCTAAGCAACAGGAATCAAAGCGAACATGTCGCAAGAAATATAATCTGCCAGTGATAGGACCTAGACACTAATAGTCCTTGTGAGAACTGTATTCTAGAAAAACACATTCAATTGTTCTTGGCAAAAGTTTATTAGTAACATAAGCACCCACATGAGGTTAACAAAAGACACGAAGTTCGGTATAACAGGGTATATGACTAAACAGCTGAGAAAAAGGAGAATCTCACTGGGAGATAGGAATAGGCAAGTGGTTAATAAGATAAACCACGGTAGACACAGCTTCAACCCAGAAGTTTAACGGAACCCTACTAAAGAGAAGTGTATAAGCTATCTCAAATCTATGATGATGCTTGCATTCAACAAGGCTATTTTGTTCCAGTGTGTGAGGACAAGAAAATCAATGATGTATCCCAAATGTAATACACAACTCATAATACCCAATCACTTTGAAAATTCTTGAGATGACAACCGAAGCGATTGTGAATGAATGCAAGAAATGTTTTGAAATGACTATAAACTTTTGATTTGCAACGCATAGGATAAAGCTAGGCGTAACGAGTGTAATCATGAGTAAATAGAACATAATACATAAAGCCAAAAACAAAAAGAACTGCAGATTTCCACACATCATAATGCACAAAATCAAAAGGAGTAAACACACTTATTTCATTATTCAGTGGAAAAGAAAAGACGTGTGATTTTCCTCAGGTAGAACCATTACAAAAAGAAATGAAAAACTGAATATATCAATATATTAAATCCTAGATAAGAAAAAACTTTGGGAGATGGATGACCTAGACAACAGTGCCATAGAGAATAAGGCAGACTTGAAGCAGCAAGGGCCTAGGAACGGGGTGAATAGATAACAAAGGATAGACACCATCCTTGCATAAGCCTTGAAATAGGAGAACACCAGAGGTTAGTTGTGAATGTAAATGTGACTTGCATCAAAAGAAAGGTAAGCATTATTACCCTTCATGAATTGTACAATGAAAAGAAGATTTTTACACATATCAGGAACATGAAACAGGCACGGTTAAGATGAAAGGAAGAATAACCAAGAGGAAGTGACAATTTACCCGTTCCGGGGATAGGGAGATGAGTACCGTAGCCAAGATAAACTGAACCAAGTCCAATATGCGGCACGATTCTACAAAAAGGCGAGGATCACGAGTTATATGACGAGTAGCACCAGTATTCAAATACCAGGTCGGGTCATTGGCTAATAATGGGGCTGTTTGGGAAGTAAATTTTAGCCTAATTTACGTTAAAATTCACAAAAAGACAAAATAAACTAAAATAGCTAATAAGACAAAATGTCACATCAAACCCATAATCTAAGAAGCACGGACACTTCTAAGAAGGTAACGTATCTGTGTCGTATCCGTGTCGGACACCGACACTCTTTGGACACTTTCCCGACACGTGTCCGAACATCACATCCAACTACAAAAAAATCCAATCATCTTCCCAAACACAAAAATTTAACCTACTAAAATAGTCAAACTAAAATAGCAACTTCCCAAACACCCACAATATATGGTGGCTGAAAATACCTTGGTGAAGCCTGTAGTTGATAGCCAAATGTCAAGTATGGAGATGAAGAAGAGGACTGAGTCAACTGGAGACCAGCAAAGGCATGATGGAGAGCATAAGAAGTAGGGTGAGCTCACCAACAAGGATACTGAAGGGCGACATGTCTAGTACTGTTGCATAACTAACAAACAGAGGCAAGAGAACTAGGAGTTGGAAGCAAACCACAATGGTTGGTGCACTCACAGTGACAATTTCAATTCTGGCTGCCAGTGCTAAGGTTGTATCAGGGGCAGAAGTAGTAGTGGAAACCCTAGAAGGAACAAAATCCTGTTAAGCCAAAAGGGCAATCTCTGAGGGGGCGATGAAGGAAGCAAAGTCTGAGCCTCAAAGGGCAATAAGCAAGCCCGCAGATACTGAGAGGAAGGTAAAGGTGGAAAATACAAAGTAGCAGGCGTAATCATCTCATAACCCAATCCTAAGCCACAAAGAACATATGTCACCAAATCAGCATTGGACACAAGTTGTCTAATAGAAATCAAGGAATCAGGCAAGAATTTGGCATGTAATAAATAGTCAGAGATGGAGTGATTGTAATTGTCAAGAGACAGAAGATGGAACCGAAGTGTAGAGGCATTGGCAGCAAATTGAAAACTATTGCCAAATCCTCTTGAGGAAACATGCTTCAACTAAAGAGTCTTGTGCAAAACAATCACAAAGTGGCAAAAAGAATTTTAGAATGTAGAATCTGAAAACAACCACAAAGTGGTGAAAAGAATCATCATCTCTTCTACTCAAACTATTCTCATGCATCAACAAGGAGTTCCACAAATTAGGAAGACAATGATAAGAAACACCAAAGCTTAACAGACAAAAACCATATCCCAGAAGAAGGGAATGGAAAGGATCGACAGAGAAAATATGTGAAAAATCAAGAATGGTTAGGAAAATAATAACATGGCCATGAAACTAAGAAATGATTAATCTCCAACTTGCTCAATTAATGTGGAATGTTAGACAATGTTAACCCTAAAACACTAGAAACTGGACTTGGATTGTAACGTTATAAACCCAAAAAAATTAGGCACATGATATCAAATTTACATGGAAACACGATACAAGTACGATCATCTAAATTGCTTCACCATATGATGATCCAAATAGTTGAAGTGTGAGATGGAAATACAGTAAGAGCAGGATCATTTAACTTGCTTCACCATATGTTCCCGAAATATGTGGGTTTCCCCTAACCCGATGAAGGTTTAGGGGCAGAGGGGTGCCCAACCACAACCCCAACCCAAGTATATTAAAATCCACTAAAATATATAAGCCATACTTTTATTTTTACGTTTTAAACGTCAATTGTTGTATTGTTATACTTGGTGATGGCTTGTAATGCGAAGATTTGATTTATAATGTTTTATTTTAATGAGATTAATTAATTTACTTATAAAAATGAAAAATAACTCCACTCGAAATAACCCGACTCAATGTGGATACCCATAAAGGCGGGAGTGGGGGTAATAATCCCACCGAAGCCAGCAGTAGCGCGGGGAAAGGGACCATAGAAAACAAACCCACCTTTTGCCAGTACCTTATGTCAAACATAAGTGAGTGAGAGAGCATGGAATATGTCCACCACATCTACTTGGGATACAGTAAAGTAATCCAAATTTATTGTGTAATTTACATAAATCTCCCTTATTATGTTATTTATTTATTTCAAAATAAATGAAGTGCCCCAGTTAAACAGTCTATGTAGACAAAACACATTATACCAATGGAAATAAATGATGACTACTAAGAACTCTCATCGTTTAGCCACATCCCAATGTCCTTGGAATCTTGGACTTTATGAATTGGACGAAACAAACACTTAGAAACATACCAACATCTAAAATTACATAACCAAGCCATTTAACATAGGTTCTAACCATTTTTTCCTCACTACAGAGAGTGGGAGAAGCACAGCAAAATAGAAAAAGGTTTCTAATCAATTACCAATTGAATGTGAGCAAAATGACAAAGGTATAATGCTAATAATCACTCATTAATCATGTAAGAGACATAACGTAAACAACTGAAATGAATACAATGCAATAGATGAGTGTAAGGTAATATTGCAAAAATAAGAATCTCACTGCATTATCAAAATATCTTGATAATATAATGCATTAAATAGAAGGTAACACAAACAAAGATATCCTGCATAGCCAATTGTTTTATCCCACTTTTCTAAGAGAAGGATTTGGAAGAGTTTCAAATACTATAATCTTCTCTCATAAGTTGCCACAATAAATAGAAAAAGGGTAACGTAGAGACAAAAACCCTTCAAAAAATAAGCCACATCCCACTACTTTATACTGCTTTACTAAAAGAGGGGGCAGGAAGTGGCAGGAAATGTTTGAAATCATATTATCTTCCGTCATAAGTTGCCATAAGAAAAAGAAAAAAGGAAACATATGGACAAAAACCTTCAAAAAATGAGCCTTACTTTTTCCAAAAGATTCTCTTCAGAGTCACAATATATCCACAGTAAACATAACAGAATTGTAGAGCAAACATTTTGTTTCACCAAGACTAACGTTGAAACTAAATGCTATCAAAATAAATCAACACATGTATATACAGTTTTAAGGCATCACCTTCAGAGCTTGGTTAGAGGTTGGCAAGTCTCTTGGTATAAGCACATTACTATCACACGCCCGTTAAGTGTATACATGTAGGTACATGTGTCCATATCTCCTCCATGATGAACCACATCACCATCTCCACAACTTGAGGTCCACTAGTCCACATGCCAAGTCTCCTAGGATGAGATGTGGACCAATCACATCTCCATATGCTCCCCCCTCCAGGGTTGAGCCATGAGGCATAGGGCATTTCCAGAGTCGCTTGCATAGGCACACTCACTTTTGGCCAAGTGACTCTCATCTCGAGCATGTCACCCTCCACTCATGATTGACACACTCAGCACCCCTCGGCTCGACCAAGTGGCTCTCCACCCTAGCATGTACCTACAAACACTTGCACTAGGCCTCCTCAATTCACTTAAGTAGTTCTCCACTCCAAATGGCACCCTTCTGTTGTTATGTTTGCTTATGTCAGGAAAAGGGCCTAAGAACCACCTCGGGGTTGGTGCCTCAGTCATGGGCCGCCCAAGCAAGCCTTGACCAAAGCTTAGGATCTCAAAAGATTTGTGACTTAAAGGCTAGAGTTGAGAATCATCAAGGTGCCCTGCCACCTTGAACGAAAGTCTTGGAAAGAGAGACAATCCAAATGAAGACAAGGCCAAATTTTACCAAGACATGAGATGCCTCGTAAGGTGTATCATACCTACCACTTGTACATTGTAACTGCTTAATATGATCCGAAAACTTGAACATTGGCAGAGTTAGGTCAAGGGGATAACCCACTTGTCCTTGGCACGCTATGCAAGGGTGGCCTCCATGCCTTGACCCTCCTAAAAAGGAGGAATCCACCCCCACACATGAATATATACATGACAACCATATTTACCACCCCCAATGAGCTCAGAGGCTCTCCACTGCCACTCCCCCTCTCTTCGTGTAAGCCCGTTTCAGCACTCATCTCCCCCACCCTAGTGGTCCTATGCCATCTTAGTGCCTATCATAATTCCCAACAGGCCCACAATCTGCCCATTCACGAACCATACTATCTATTTTGCTTCTTTTTTTTTTGTCTTTTTGATAAAACTATCTATTTTGCTTCTTTGAGAAACATTTCCACATTAATCTTTGACAGCACTTAGTTAACTCCAATAAGCATCTATGGATTATGTTAACTCCAATAAGCATCTATTGATTGTGCTTTTCAATACGAACTCATCGCAACTAGCTATTTTCTAGTAAAAATATCATTCGAATTGTCTGCCGTCATACAATACGACATGTATATAAATTCAACCACTAAATCATGTAACCTGACAAATATGTAAAAATCCAGCCATCAAATATATAGTATATCCCCTACTTAATAGTGATTGGATCTTCAATATTCATCATGAAATCATCCCAACCAATTCCACAACAATGCAAGATGAGTTTAAATCTTAAAAATAGAGACTCTCCGCTAGGGTGTTTCCCATCATTATACTAATATTAGATACAAACTTGCCAAAGAAAACTTAATAAAGAACCAAGAAATCTAACTAGGAAATATTCCTAACAATAACTTGTTACAACATTGTGGAAATAGCAGCCTCCAAATCAATATTTCAACAGTTCAGAGACACAATTCAAGTAACCTAACAACTACGTTATTATAAGTACCAAAGAAGGGAGGCAGCAACTCTTACCAATGCTTTAGGCATGGCTGGTGTCATGGGAATTAATTGCCGAGATTGTTTAATAGCCCGTTCTTCCAGCCTCTGAGTTCCAGCAGATAACTACAATACATAAATATAACAAAAAATAAGAACTTGTCAATATTAACATGTGCCGCCAAAAAGAAGAGTGCAATGAAACTACCTGGGGAGTACTATTAACACGAGAAGGACCCTGGGCCAAAGTTTCAGCCATATTCAGGCCAGTTGTACTTGAAGCTGAAGAAGATGAAGTTGGAGAAATGGCTTGTTGAACAGACCCAGCAGTGCCGTTGCTTCCAACTAATACAGGCACCTCTGCCAGGGCTGAGGTCCACCCATCACCACCAATCACACCTGAAGTACCTATTGGCAAACTTTGTGTGGCAGTACTCAACCCAGGAGAAGAGACTCTTCCTATTTCAGAAGCTGCTTGTCTTTCTTCAGCCCCCAGAGATGGGAAGTCCCTTTCAAATGCAGCCTTCCGCACACTGCTAACAGCACTGCTGCCAGAAAGCAGACCATTGCTGTCATTAGGGTTGCTTTTGTTGTCATTGCTCAAATCAGATGGCACTTTTCTGGGCCATGTTTCACCTCGTTTCCCAGTAATCATCGATTGTGAACGCCTCAAATCCTTCTCAAACCTACTCGGGAAAATGTTTTCTAAATGATCAGAGTACTCGTGGCGTCTTTGTTCACCCAAAAATGACTTTTCTTTATCACGGGAATCATATAATTCCTTCTCCCAATCCCTATCACGATTGCTTCTACCCAAACTACCATGAGACCGTAAGTGCGCAGAACTATTACTGCTGGAATTCCGACGAAAATATGAGGAAGTAGTTCGATCTGCAACAAATGGACGTCCTATATCATGATCATTTGTGTTCAATAATGACTTATTTCTTGAAGGCTTTGTGGCAACGTGATCATCTATGACAAGAAAACAAAGTAACTTGTAAGGGTAATTACTGAAACTTGAATAGACATGAAGTACTTCAAAACAGAAACCCAAATACGACAAACAAAGTATATAAATGTTACCTGAGTATAATGAGGATAATGTCATTTGGTGGGATGTAGTCCCACCGCCACTCACACTTCCACTGCCCTTCAACCATTCTGGTATTAATGTGGGTTCACTTCTTTCCATAATTAGTACCAAACATGATCAAATAAAGGAATATATATAGATATATATATATCAACTTGTCTTTCGCGAATTATTGCCCAATAACCACCTCTGACAAACTGTTCTGTTTCTTCACAGTATCAACCTGCCGTTTACCTAATTTCAATTTTGTCGTATCGCTGAATCTCGCTTCACATGTCACCAGAAACAATTAAATCACTAATTCTCCCAACAAAATTGTAAAAACGGTAATCCTTCAAAACCAATTCCCAATAAAAGAATCCTAACTGTCCTGTACACTTAACTAGTATTTATTTCTCTCTCTGTACATTATATACCTTAAAAGTCAATCAAGAACAGCTTTAATAAATTCCAATAATCAAACTTGCAAACCCTTTGGTGCCAAGAATGATATCAAGAAGGGTTTCTAGAGGCTTCCATGTTCAAGAAAATCAAACTAGAAGACCCTCATCTCATAACAATACCTTCAACCAACGCAGAAAAACAATCCTATTCACTTGTATAAAGATGAACAAAACAGACTACTTCTTGAACAAAAATTGAAACCCATTAAAAGAATCACCGATAGAACAAAACCCAATTATCCCAAGACTAGAAAGAACAATCCAACTTATTGTAACCAAATTGGTACCCACTAGGGTTTGAGCAGTGCAGAGAATATACCCAAAAAAATATTTACCAGAACAGTATATGGGGGTGAGAGAAAACAGACTAACCCTGAACCCTTTCGATCAATATATATATATAATCGATAAAAATTGAATTAAAACCAAACCCTAATCTGGCGCGCCTTGGTATAGCCAATGCTGAGCAAGTGATCAGCGAAACGATGTGTGGGGATTTGTAAAGAGAGAATGCAAAGAGTTTCAATTGTAGCAAAGCCTATATATCCAGATAGAACGAGAGAGAATGAGGCGCCATTTTTGTCGAGAGAGTTAGAGAGAGAAAAACACTGGGGACGCACGCACCTGCTTCGATTGCACCGGGTAGAAGCAACAAGGTTTTACAGACTAGAGACAGAAGAGAGATGTATAGAGGAATTTTTTTTTTGTGTTGGGATGTGTCAAATGTGAAGGTATAGTTTTTTTGGCTGACAAATGTTCTTAATTTAACCCTATTTCGTTGCTGATGTGCTTTCTATGTACTATATAATATCGGCCGGTTGACCCATCTAGCCCGCTCGGTTCGGTTTTATTCTTTTATATGAGTTATTTGATATGATTGACACAAGTACACTTTTAGATAAGTATATTATTTTTCATCATATTAAGGTTAAGTTTGGAAAAATTAAATAAGTGTATTTTTTGACTTTTTATGAAATATGGGTTGGATTTGAGTTGGGTTTGAAGTGATGTGTTAGAGAGGTGTGGGAAAATTAAATAAGTGTATTTTTTGACTTTTTATGAAATATGGGTTAGATTTGGGTTGGGTTTGAAGTGATGTGTTAGAGAGGTGATGTGACTTAAATGAGATGATGTGATTTAAATAGGATAGTGATTTTTTGACTTTTTAGATTTTTTGGAAGATGCCAAACTTGGCCTAATTCTCTATTTTTTTTTATATCTTTTCATAAAAAATTAAAAAATATATTTATTTAAATCATCTCAAATAATCTAACAAGGGATTTAGAAAGAAAAAATAAAATGTATGAAATTATGTAAAATATAAATATATTTTATTTATATTTTACTTACCTTTTTTTTTAAAAGATTCTTTCCAAAATCTCCTAACCAAACACAGCATTAAGATTTAAATTTTATCTTTATTGATTTTATTAAAACTTATATTTGTGGTGATGTGTGATTGGATTTATTTTAAGGGAAATTTTTTTTAAGGCCCCTGGTATTAAGATTTTATAGCATAAATGACACTCAATATTTTCATGATGTCTAAGGTCTCTCAACATCAATCTAGAGAAAATTTGATCCTGAGAAAATTCGATCCAGAGAATTTCTCTAGATAAATCACAGAGAAAATTTCAAATTTCTCTGGACACATCACAGAGAAAATTCCAAATTTCTCTGGATACATCACAAAGAAAACTCCAAATTTCTCTGGACAACAATAAGGACTAGTGCTCTATTTCAAAGAAAATTGGGTTGGTTCAGAGAAATTCTCTGATTTGGACTGAATTTTCTCTAGGTTGAACTAGTTCTCTGCTTTAGAGAAAATTGGGTTGGTCCAGAGAAATTCTCTGGGTTGAACTAGTGCTCTACAGAGAAAATTGGGTTAATCCAGAGAAATTCTCTGGTTTCTAGTGCTCTACTTCAAAGAAAATTGGGTTGGTCCATCTCTGGTTTGGGCTGAATTTTCTCTAGACCAAACTAGAGAAAAAATTTCTTTGATTCAAATATAAAAAAACTGTTCAAGCTCAAATCTTATTGGATTCTCAAATACTCATAGAAATCATAAACAATGAAATTAAGCTTACATGGGATAAAAGAAATTTCTCTAGGGCCTACCCATCCTGCTTGTCCTTGGAGGTGAAAGATCTGTCCCTAGAGAGGCATGTGAATCATCTTAATACAGAGAATTGCGTCAAACTCGTCGAGGTGGGGAAATGTCAGGCAAGTCAGATATCTTTGAGTTCTTTCCTTCATATGCTGCCTTTTGAGGATGGTGCCGGCAATGAGGGGAAAAATCAAGATCTGGACCAGAAGAAAGTAATTGCTTTGTTTCAGGTTCTGGTGATGGAGTATAATGACGATATTGTTGCTTGTGTGGCCGTGACAAATCAGCAGCCTCTCTGCCAGACTCCAATGGTCTGAGATTGGGTTCTGGTGAAAGTGTGTCATACTTAGGCCTCCGCTTACGAGGAGGGGAAATATCAAGATTTTGGTCGCTGGACTTCAGATGTTTATGATCAAGGCCAGAATGATGTAATGCTTTTGCTTCAGATTCTAGCGATGGATTGTGGTAACCCCTCCGCGACTGCCATGGTGACGACAAATCAGTGACTTCTCTGTGACCCACTGAAGACTTCAGTTCAGGTTCTGGTGACGAAAGAGAGAGCACAGCAACGAGGAGAGAGAAGAGGTGAGGCGTAAGTCTGAGAGAGAGAAGAGAGAGAGAGAGGTGAAGGTTTCAAGCTTATACCAAATTTCTCTGTAATGCATGGGGTGTGGGATTGAGGGACCTTAGACATCATAAAATAATATTGTGGATCTTTTCCATTACTAAAATTGGGGGAGGGGCTTTAGGCTAATTTTCCCTATTACAAAATTTAATAATAAAATTACGTTTTTTTTTTTTTTATGGTAGGGTGCATATAGAATTTTCCCATACACTCATGTCATGTTTGGTTTTTTTCACTTAAGGACAGTTACAAAAAATAAATAAAAATAAAAATAAAGATTTGAGCCTTTTAATAAAATAAATTTTTAATTTTAATTTTATTAATTTAAAATTTATTTTTAATTTAAATTATTTGTCTAGTTTCCTTAATAAAATCAATATAATAAAGGGAAAAATTCAAATAAGTCCAAAAGTTAAAAATAATTATAAATTAATGATAAACATTTCAAATATTAATTACTAAAATTATACACTTTTCCATGTATGTGTAACAACTTTTCCAAATTAACATTGACTAGTAATTCTGTCTAGAAAATTAGTATTTTAATCATTAAACTCTTTTAATGACTAAAATTTGTAAAATACTTTTTTTCATTAAGTTTAATAGTTTAAATGTCATTTTTCTTTTAATTTTACTTAATAAAAATAAATAAATATATAGATTGAAAATAAATAAAAATTTTAAAATTTAAATTAACATAATTAAAAAATTATTTTATTATAGCAGTCAAACCTTATGATTTTTTTATAATTTTTCCTTTTACTTATGGGGAATTTTTTTTAAGGTCCCTAATAATAGTAATTTAGAGGATAAATGATACCAAAAAAAGAGTGATGCATCAGGTCCCTGAACAACATGGCGCACATTTATAATTATTTCGTGGACCAAAATACCCTTCACACAATCAACACACAGACGAAACTGATTCCGACGATTGAGTTCCATTCCAAGCATCCAACCACTTCATAAACAAGAGAACAGCAGAATTAGGGTTTCAATATCATCTTCACCATCGACATTAGAGCTTTGTTACCTTTTGCAAAAATCATTCCATTCCTTCCTCACATTTTTCTCTGACCCCGTTTTCACTGTTCATCGTCATCTCAGTTTATCTTCGTCTCGTCACGTCACATCTTCATCTCAAGACATATTAGCTCGTCATTAAAGTTTCATCCTAACTTTGGTAAGTTTTTCTACAATACAACTAGATTTTCTCTGGAAACATAGTTAATTGCATTTTGTATTAAGCTTCCATAAATTAGGGTTTCAATTTCGTAATAAAAAGCTACATGAATTTGAAAAAAATTATTTCCATGTGTTTTGAATTTATTCTTAAACATGTTTGTGTCATTTTATCTATAAATTTCTCTGGCATTTGAATTTTTCTGGTTTTTGCTTGATGTATGTTTCTTCTTTGAATTTTCTCTGGCATGTTTATTTTGAAAAAAAGCTATTTCTCTGTGTTTTCATCATATTCTTGAACATGTTTATGTGATTTTGTCTATAAATTTATCTGCTCTGTAAATTTCTCGGTAATATGTATTTTTAATTGGAATGTCTATCTTTCTCTGGAATGTCTATTACTCTCTTGTTTCTGTCTAAGTTTCTCTGGTATTTATAATTTTCTCTAACCACATCACTTTCCTCCCTTGTGTGTTTCTATCATGTTTAATTTTCTCTGGTTGTGTATGTAAATTTCTCTGGCATTTTAATATTATGGACTGGAATGTGTGTTTCTTCTTTGAATTTTCTCTAGCATGTTTATTTTGAAAAAAAATTATTTATCTGTGTTTTGATCTTATTCTTAAACATGTTTCTGTGATATTGCCTATAAATTTCTCTGGAATATGTATTTTTCTCTAGAATGTCTATTACTCTTGTGTGTGTCTAAGTTATAATTTTCTCTGGCCACATCACTTTTCTCCCTTGTGTGTCTCTATCATGTTTAATTTTCTCTGGTTGTGTATATAAATTTCTCTGGTATTTTAATATTATGGACTTGAATTTTTTTCTGGAATGGAAATTTTCTCACGAATGTGTAATTTTCTCCGAAATGTGTAATTTTCTCTGATATGTTTATTTTGTTCAATTCTTAGTTTCAATGTGGACTAATTTTCAGTGGCATGTTTACATTACTTTGTTTATTTTATCTTGCTAATTGTGAAATGGAAATTTTCTTTGGCTTGCCATGTTTACTTTTCTCTGTCTTTTATTTTCTGTGCTTGCTAGATATATGTTTCTTTTTTCAATTTTCTCTGGCTATATTTTACTTCTATATGTAATTTTAACAATTATTGAAAATTTCTCTACCATGTTTATGATGATTTGTTGATTTTCTCTAGCAATGGAAATTTTATGTGGTTAGATGTATTCCACAGGAAAACAATTAATACTCTGAAATTTATTTTTAGTGTCTGATTTTGTCTGACATTTATAATTTTCCTTAGCCACCTTAGTTTTCTCCCTTATGTGTAATTTTCTCTGACATGTCCAATTTTCTCTAGCATATTCAATTTTCTATGGGATTTAATGTTAACATCTTTATGTTTTCATCATTGTCTAGAAATAGCAAAACGTAAAAGCAGCAAAACACCGGAAACATCAAGTAAGAAACAGAAACTCTCTCAGCCTTCTTATGATCAAAAATCAACAGCAAAAAATCGAAAACACCACGCAAGAAATAGAAACTCTCTCGGTCCTCTTATGATCTAAGATAAAAAACCAGCAACAAAACACCACAAACTTCTTGTCAAAACACACAAATCCAAGGTGATGAAGTAACTAGTATCAAGATGAGTACCCCAACTTCAATATACTCAAGCTCAAGGGGGAAAAAACCTGTTAAACTCCAAAGAAAGAGAGCTCGCTACAGCATTCAATACCGATCCGACCTCTCATCTATTGTCTCCTTTTTTCAAACACTTAAATTCAATCAAACCAACTTGTAGAGCTTCAAAAGACCTCATTCTGGTATTTAATCCAAGCTCTAACCACTGGAAGGATGGATCCAAGGAAATCTAGGAAATCTGATGACGATGT